GTAGGGCCGTGCAGAGCGGCGGGCTTGAAGTAACTGCTAGACGGGCAGTCCCCACACGTTGGCTCTTGCTCGGAGCAATCCAGAAGCTGAGTCAGCCGGTGGGACAGAGGGATACCCTTTTTGCAAGGTGAACCCCTGCGCAAATTTTTTTTGTGTGCTGATCGCTTCAGGGCTTGCGGCATAAAATCCGCACAGCAGCGACTCCTACGCAAAAAAAAACCCGGTGCACATCACTGAATCTGCAGAAATCGGATTGATTTCAGGAACAAAAATGTCAGACGACATGGAACGCGAGCTCGATCGTATTCTGGATGAAGAGGTCGCTCGAGACAGCAGGATGGAAGAGCTGCACCAAGAGTTGTCTCAGCTCAGGGCACAAGTGATGCAGTTAACGCAGCAGAATCTGCAACAGGTATTATATACGGTTTCTCAGTGTACCCTAAGCGTTGCAAATCTGCGAGACGTGCCCAAACAGATAGCATCCTTGTTCAGGGAAGGCAAAATTGTCTCACCTGAAGACGCTGAAAACGAGCTCACAAAGCTCCTTACATCAGAGGGCGACGCAATACTCCTGGCGCTAGATCCCTTGAGCGAAACAGCTGCGAGGGTCAAGGAAATGGCGTCCGAAACACATGCAAAACACAGTGAGGAGCTATCCCCTATTTTTGATCAGGCAGAACATGACGATCATTGCATGCGCACGCTTTCGAAATTGTTACGCGTCCAGTCCACAGAGGTGATTGGGGCAGTGAAAACTCTAGTCAAGAGACACCAAGTGGTGGCTAGAACACAAATACCATGTTTTGGTAAAAAGATACTGCCAGCTAGAACACCACTAACCTTCAACAATTTCGACAATAGAGAGACGTGCATATTGCAGGGCACTTCGACTACGGCGCAAAGTGAAGCGCAGTCGACTCCAATGGAGACAGAACATGGCGAAAATGAACACGACAGATTTCGCGAGGCTTTCCGCCTACTCAATGCTAAAGACCATACGACAGAAGCTGGACTACCGCCAATCGAATTCGATGCAGTGAATGCGGCCAAAGGTAGGCTTTTGTCACAGCAAGACGATTCGCCTGAGTTCGCTCGCCTCAAACGTACTCTGACTGAGAACCAATTTCAGAGGAACAGCGACGTGAACGAGCCACGACACACCATGGTGCTACCCTCTCCAACCAGGGGCAACCCCCCAAGAGGTTTGTCTCCAGAATCTCGTGAAACAAGTTCATCTTTCACATATGGGATTGGGACGACATTAGCTGCCATGGCACTTCCGGAGGTCAAGAACTTTAGTGACCCAGACGGGAAAGGTTTTACCGAGTTTGTGATGTCCTTTTCAATGAAGTACGGTAGAATAGGTCTTCCGGACGATATCCTCATTCATTTAATGAGCGAAAAATTGGAGGGCACACCCAAAAGGTCATGAAAACGCTCCCGGAAGAGACTAGAAAGGCAAATTTGCAGAGGACTTTGGGTGTCGCCAGCTAAAATACGAAGTCGGCTGAAACCTACTTGCGCTAGGGCAGATGGAATCTGCATATTATAATGACCCCACTGAACACGTTGAAGCTATGTGCGCAATCCATCTCCACGGCAGTACATTGTCCAACTCGAAAAGCCTCAGACAGCTAGGCGCAAGACCGACAATCACTCACGAAGCTTAGAATGCCGGATCTGTCCCATGGTGAGAGCTAGTGAATTGATCTCGCAGCTCACTAATTGGCCAGAGTACTTCCAACTATTCGCCGTGATGGAGGCTGCAGCACCGTACGAGGTGTACGAAAAGCTCAAGAATCTGGCACAGGGCATCGAAAGAAGCAAAAGAGTAGCTGCGGCGAATGAAATCAGCTACCGAATCAAAACAGTTCGAGGAACGAAGGAGGCCGTCGCGAGCCACGGTGTTTTCGAGAATCAAGGACAAAACTATCCAAGATGGAAATGTCCAAGATCGACATCACCACAAGGAGCAAGGTCAACAAAGTTAGAAATAACGCAGAAAGGTGCACAGTCGCAGCAGCGGACACTAGACTTTGCAGAAGATGTAAGAGACCTGGACATTTTCAGAGGGACTGCGACAAGAAAAGGAACCAGTCCAACGCACAGACATGCGCAAAAACCGTCGGAAGTGCGGCAAGTCCGTCAATAAGCGCAGTCGTCAAATGCTTCTCGTATGGAACAGTCGAAGCGTACCTTCACGACAGTACTACAAAACTGGTCTTGTCAGGCTATAGGGACACGACAACGAGAAGACGAGATGTTCGGCAAGAAAACCATGTGCAGAGTAGAACTGCTGGGTTTTACTAAAGAGGCACTCGTCGACACAGGATCTCAAGTAAGTATTTTACCACTAAGAATACTACTTGATGCATCAAAGGCAGGTTTTGACCTGGATAAGGACGTCGAAGAGGTCAAAATGGACGATCATATAAACATCTATGATGCCTCGGGTCACAAAATGGAATTCAAAGGCGCAGTGAAACTTAGTCTAGCGCTGCATCAGGAACCTGTGCGACGCGTGGTATTCTGTGTGAAAGGAGGCACTGATGATACTATTGTGCTGGGCACTAACATCCTGCGTTCTTATTGGATTCCAAGCTCTACTTGAGCCGATGACAGGGACGAACCATCAATCAGGAGGCATGCAAGCGTCGTCGTGCCACAACAAAGTACGAACTGTAGCCACGCAAACAGATCCGCACAAGAACACCAAACGGAGGAAGTCAATCAAATGCAAAAGTGAGAATACCGTGCCAGAAGAGAACACAGCGCACAGTGCTGTTGTAGCCTCGAGGGTCTATCTCAGACCGGGAGAAACAAAAACGGTGTCATTAAAAAAGGACTCTTCCGATTCGGCTCAAATACTATGGTCAGAATGTGATCTGATACCTCATGCCGTTTGCGGGTGGGGCGAAACCGTCAAGTTACCAATAACCAATACAACAGAAGAAGCCAGAGTCTTCCAAGCGGGAGAAAAGGTTGGCTTCTGGGACCAAAGGGCGATCGTAGAAAAGGCATCACTGGAGTGCGCAAATATGCTCGAACGCACTAGTCCACCAATTGCCGATCGCTGGAATATTCTCGTCGCACTACTCCGAGCCAACAAATCGACAGGAGATTTGGGTGAACTATTAGGCGAGAAACTGCGACAATATCATGATGTATTTGCGGTGGCGGATCAAGAGCTTACCCAGACGCATATAGTTGAGCATGACATCGAAACAGGCTCTGCGAAACCAATAAAACAGAAAGCTCGGCCAATACCGCTGGCAGCGCGTGCAGAACTGCGCAAGATCCTAATAGATCTTAAAGAACGAGACATTATTGAACCAAGCACCTCTCCATGGTCGTCGCCTATTGTGCTGGTGCAGAAGAAGGATGGTTCCCTGCGTTTATGTGTCGACTATAGGAAGGTGAACCAAGTGACACAGATAGATAGCCATCCCCTCCCAACGATTGATACAATTCTCCAAAATCTGAGGGGGAAAGGTTGGTTCTCAACGTTGGATCTCTCTTCTGGATACTGGCAAATGAGATTAACGGAAAGGTCAAAGGAGAAAAGCGCGTTTGCCACAACCGAAGGTTTGTACCAGTTCAAAGTCCTACCTTTTGGTTTGGCGTCGTCGCCAGCAGCTTTCCAAAGGCTGATGCACTCAGTCCTTTCGTCGCTTCAAGGAGAAGAAGTCTCATGCTATCTCGATGATATTATCGTGGCGACCAACACTCAAGAACGTCACGTTGAAGTCTTGGGCAAGGTATTCGATAGGCTACGAGCAGCAAACTTGAAGCTCAACCCAAAGAAGTGCATACTTATGGAGCCCAAAGTTGAGTTCTTGGGTCATGTTCTCGACAAAGAGGGCCTACACGCCGATCCCAAGAAAATCTCAGCCATTCGAGAATACCCTAGGCCTCAAACCCGTTCAGAGCTAAGAACATTTCTTGGAATGTGTTCTTACTATCGTAAGTTCATACTGCGGTTTTCAAAAATCGCAGCGCCTCTTCATGAGATGACATCTGAGAAGATTAAGTTCGAGTGGACCCAGATGCGTATCGACGCATTTGAAACGCTCAAAGACGCTCTGACAACAACCCCAGTCTTGGCGCAACCAGATATCGAAGGAGCTCGTTCCGGAGAAAAGCCATTTTGCATACACACGGACGCCAGCTATTCAGGCGTAGGGGCAGTGTTGAGCCAAAAAGGAGACGACAATTTTCTGCACCCTATATTCTTTGCGTCAAAGGGCTTGAGCAAGAGCGAGCGAAATTATCACATCACAGATCTGGAAGCACTCGCCGTTGTTACCGCACTGCGACGATTTCATATGTTTGTACATGGCTTGCCTATCCAAGTCTATACTGATCACCAACCATTAACAGCTATCTTTAAGCGCTCGAATGTATCGCCGAGAGTCCTTCGATGGGCACTCGAGCTACAAGCCTACAACATAAAAATCGTCTACGTAAAAGGTGCTGCAAATAGGGTTGCGGATGCCCTCAGCAGGGGAGCCGTGGATGCGGAAAACCTGGAGGGAACCAGCAGCATTCCAAACGAGATGATTGTTGCGTCCACTATGGAAGAGCCTGAATGGACACGAGAGCTAAGAGCAGATAGCACATACGGGAAGGTGATCACAGCGCTGGAAAATGGTAGCCTATCAGAGGAAGTTGTTTTCCCAAATCAGGTGCGCAAGCTCAAGGTGGCCGATTTCGTGCTACAAGACGGATATCTGTGCTTCATAGACAAGGACACCGTAAGAAGGGTGGTCCCACAAGCATTCAGGAAGCAAGTATTCGACAGTGCTCATTCGGCACTACTAGCTGGTCATTTCGGCGCAAAGAAGGTACTGCGAGAACTACGTAAACGAGTCTTTCTGGGAAAACATGACCCGTGACATACGGCTATGGACGGAGGAGTGCAAAAGATGCATACTGTTCAACTCAAAGCCGGAAATGAAGCCTCCGCTAAAGCCTATTGAGTCCTCGGAACCATTCGAGATGATTGGCATCGACATCCTCGAGATGGGCCCGACCACTGGTGGAAATAGATACATTTTGTCGTTATCGACCACTTCACTAAATACGGTGGGGCGTATCCTGTCGCCACAAAGTCAGCGGAAACGGTAGCGCGCACGCTATTTGAACGCTGGATGGCCGACGGATGTCGAATTCCCAAATGTATCCTTTCTGACCAGGGCGGAGAATTCGATAACAAACTGATGACTGAACTAACATCCATTCTAGGTATCCGCCAAATTTTCACGAAAGGCTACAACCCACGTGAAAATGGGATAACCGAAAGATTTAACAAAACCATCATAGGGTTACTAAGAAAGAAAGTGGAGATTCCACAAGAGTGGGATAAGATGCTTCCCTATTGCATGATCGCGTATAATACAACGGCGCACGAGGCAACAGGCGAGTCCCCGTTCTTTCTTATGCATGGATTTGACGCGAGAGTACCATGGGATTCCATGCAGGAGCGTGCGAACACGCCCTACATGGTTGACATGGACGACTACGTACATGAACTGGTCAGTGGACTAAGCATAGCTCGGCAGAGTGCTCGCGAGCGTAACGAAAAAGCACGAGAGGTGATGAAACGCAGCTATGATGATAGGTGCAACGTGGTAGAGAAGCCCCTCAAAGTAGGTGATCGAGTCTATATGAAGGTACCGATGGAAAAAGGGACTTCTGCTCATCCTAAACTGAAGAATGACTGGACAGGTCCGTTTAGGGTGGTTGAGGTAAGCGAAAACAGCGCAACCATAACAGCCATAACGGGGGATAAGGACCCGCTACGTATTCCGTTCGATCAGCTCCGGAAGTTGCCAGCAGGCGTTGATGACGAACCTGTCATCACTTCTAAACACAGGGCAAAGAGGGGTAGACCTAAGAAAACGGATGTGCGGATGTCAGCTAATGCAGTTTCTTTCAGGGTCGAAGTTGGAGATCCGCGTTTCGATCCACTGCACCTGCTCTTCCCGTGCCAGTGTGGGATGTTCAACACACGTGCGCAAGTGGGCCTGCCTGGTCTGCGTTGTGATCTCGCTCGTTCTAAACCTGTCAAAAATCTTTTCGAACTAGCTAATGTCGCCTCAATTGCTTTGCACCCTCACTGGGGGGACGACCGGAAAGAAGCCGAGCTTCTGAATAAGGAGTCGCGCTATTTGACAATCCATGGTCTTGCGACGGCAATACATGCGCACAGCAAGTTCTGTTTCGACTACGCATCCGCCTTGAAAGCACACGAGGACGTGGAACTGTCTCACCCTCCGTTGTTCACGACGAGTCCCGGCTACGACATCGAGTTATACTATCGCATGGCAATGGCACGACGCTTCCAGGTCACGTCGCAGTCGTCGGATGATGACATGCCAGGAAATCCGATAATGATAGCCCTACCGAAGCAGTTTGGGAAGGTCCTTACTGAAGTTCTGGAGCCACCTGTGGTGAAATTCATCGTGTACTCGCACTTCGGAGATTTGGCGGACCAGTTGCAAAAGCAGAGCATATCTTCTGCGTTGGTTTGGGTGTGGCCGAATGAGGTACCTAATACGCAACACATGCTTCTCGTCCAACACGCAGTGGAAAGGCACCTGCAGTGTGGGGGAACATTGGAGCTATTCCCTCCCCCGTTCGAGCTGAGTCGTGAATCTGACTGGAGGCACATCGGGACGGTGTGCAGAAAGATGGCCGAGTTTTTATCGGGACCCGCGAGAGGTTTCGATGCAAGGATCGTCGATTTCTACAGTACGATCGGAGAAGAGGTGCCCATAAAACATCCAGCGGTGAGCCTGGGAGTCCGTCCCAGGAAGGGAGAGGACCGTCTGATGGGCTGGCAGTGCCAGGTATTTCTCCAGCAGATCGCCGAAATTACGTCCAATCTACTTGTACTGCCGAAGTTCGAAATGGCACCAAGGAAACCCGCAAAGGACCAGCCGACGACCAGCAACGTTCCAGCCGCGCCAGAAGGAACAAGAAAGCGCAAAGGTTTCGACGTCTACTTATCATCATCAGCGACGTCAACAGATTAACGAAAGGAGGTGGCGCACGCAATGAAGCAAATGGGTCGCAAGGATAAGCCGCCGGAGTCGGCTTCCCGTAGAAGGGGCGTGTAAATATGTATAGTATGTAACCATATTTAAAGTAAAGTTGTAAACATACCTCTACTGTTATGTAGCATTACTCGTTTTCTTTGTACTATCTTGATGCATATCTGCCCATTACCTCTGTTTCCCACAATTCAAATTTTCGCAACTACCAAAACAGATTTCCCGCGCGCGAAGCTACCCGGCTAAAGCCCTCTCTTGATCTGTGTCTATGTGAATTTCGTAATCTCTTGTATTCTATCTGTGTCTGTAAGCTCCACTTTCCCAGGGCCACAGATATAAATACCGGTCAGATATCTTAGAATGGCTTTTGGATCTGTCGTATTTCGTCAGAGGATTCTGCTAATCGATCGCCTTATTCTGTACTGCTACTTACCGAAGAATAAAGTGTAAGTCACTATTCTCTAACCGAGCTAAAAGGAAGGGACCTTGTCCCTAGACATCTAAAAAGGGGATCCGAGACGGAGACCCAAAACGGGGCGAACGCACCGTAAAACCATTACGACAAGCGTGCGTTTTGTAACCTCCCATTATCACAATGTTCTGGCTAAATATCTACCTATGCGGTCTACTTTAAGGCCTCAAAGAATCTATGCACAGTTAGACGAGTGAAACATTATGAATGAAACTAAGAGTGATCGATGTTGACAGAAAAATGACTCACATCGCTGAACAAAAGTTAACCGCTCCCGAGACGACAGCGTCAACGCGCGAAACA